TTCGCGCAGGTGGAATCTGACTTTGTTGCCGTTTCAGGTGGCTCATGCTCTGGAGAACGATCTGGGTGTGATCGCCTGTATTGGTGAGAAGCTGGACGAGCGAGAGGCAGGAACCACCGAAGAAGTCGTCTATGCTCAGACGCAGGTCATTGCAGGTAAATACGAGAGAAATATTAACATTTTTTCCATGTTTTTTTTTTATTGTAGGCTTTCATGATCTGTTTTTTTTTTTAAGTTTTATTTTAGCTTTTCTGCTTTATATTATTTTTTGCATCTTTTTTTATGGCTAAATCTTTGTTTTTACCTTCACAGGGAAAAAAAATAAGTCATTCATTTCTCAAGTTTCTTATTCTAATGTTTTATTACTTTATTATTATTATTATTCATGATTATTGTTGCGCTATTATGTTTGTACTTTTTCTACATATATATGTAAAATTAAAATAATTAGTTATTTACTCAAATATTTCATTTAAACAAAGTTGTAATAACTAATAACGAGATTCATTACATAATATGTTGAAGGAAAACGAGCAGTTTGAAATAAATCGGATGCATTTACACCTTTTTTGTATTATTATGTTCTTTAGATCAAAAGTTTGGTTATTTAATGGTTCAAATGTTTCTCTGATTATGAATAATGACAAAAAACTGTTACAGAAACATAAAAGTGAACTGCTGGACTCTACTCTGTTTTTATTCTGTGCATAAAGATAGAAAAACGAGTTCCTTTTGCTTCTGGATTTGTTCTGTCTGCACTGAGGCTTTACAAGACCTGATTGATGATCTTTTCCCTGGTTCCATCTTGGCCTCCTGTATTCTGCTTCTGTACTGAAAGTAGGCCACGTACTGATTTAAAATGTAAATAGGTCAGTGGTCTCTGCCTTCAACAGACACAGCTGCCTCTGTTAAAGCAGGCTTTGCAGCTTTAAAGCCAACAAAGGTGGAGAACTGAAGGCAGCTTGCAGCCGTGGTCTGCTTTTAGGATGTTGCCTGATCAGAAAGGACCTTTTGAGTTTGCATACTCTTATTCTGCTTATTCTTTCTGAAAGGTAGGGAAACCTTTTAAAGAAGAAACACACCAGACAGATTTGTTTTTGAAGAAATGATAACCATGTTAATTATTAAGGTAGAGGTCAGGCATAATCCTGTTTTATGGCATTGTGATGTATGTGAAATGTGGCCTCTCGGCTGATAAACTGTTGTCCTTCCATTATCCTTCCATATTCTTCATACAGACTTTGCAGGTCTTTAACATGATATTGCTGCAGCCCAAATGACTGGCTGCAGGTGGCAGCTGATAAAGCACCTTGAGAACGGATTGTAGATGCGGGTCTGCGATCACACCGTTACTTATCGGTGTTTATGCCTGAATGATGTTTGGTTGCAGAGAATGTAAAAGACTGGGGGAATGTCGTGCTGGCATATGAACCTGTTTGGGCCATCGGCACAGGAAAGACAGCCACACCTGAGCAGGTAATACCGCAGCCACATCACTACAAGGCCCATAAGTGAGCACATAAATAATCATAACTTCTCACATTACATCCAGTCCAGTGGGATGTTTAGCCCTATTTCCAATTTTTATCTTTGTCATGTTTTAATATCTAGTTTTACATAACTGCACACACGGGCAAATCGGCTGCACACGTAACATAATTGTTATATGATTTAAGTCTGTGCTCCGTGGAAATGAATCCTGGGAGTTGATTTTGAAGATGTGACGGTTTAATGATTCTCTTCATGAACACAAACTCATTTTTTTCTAGTCTTTTTAGTTTTGCAGTCACATGTGAAAAAGAGAGTTTACACAGGGTATGAAGTATTTTCTGTATGACTTCATCAGTCTCTCATGTTATTGTGCATCGCTTCAATTCATTGAGGTTTGGAGCATTCATCTATGCATAGGTCTCATTTTAATCAATGCATGTGCAGGCTCAGGAGGTCCACGAGAAGCTGAGGGCGTGGCTCAGAGCAAATGTCTCCGATGATGTGGCCGACTCTGTACGCATCATCTACGGAGGTCAGTGAGCATAACTAAAGCAAACTTTACAGTAGGATTGTGTTAGGTTCAATGATGGTGCAACAATTTCATATACATGAAATAATGGTGTTATTAACATGTACAACCTCTGCAGACGTCACAGGTCGGTTTAATTTTGCTACTCTCTCCAGGTTCGGTCACAGGAGCAAACTGCAGAGAGCTGGCGTCTCAGGGCGATGTGGATGGCTTCCTGGTGGGCGGGGCCTCTCTGAAGCCAGAGTTTGTCGACATCATCAACGCACGTGCATAACAAATGCACAACTACTCCAGCAGGATCGATGGAAAACACCCTGCCCTTTAGATCTGCACCGTGTATCACCTTGTTTCTGCAAACTGGGCTGACTGATCCAGTTAAACCAGAGGAGGTTTGCATTCATAAAACAAACCGCATGTTGAATATTTAAACTACTAAATACCTTTAAGAAAAGATGTTTTTCACTCCATTCTTTATTTTCCTGACTTGAATAAATAAGGAAACTTTAGATAATTAAGATTAAAAACTGGAAATCCACTGAGGCATGTGATCCATGTGATCCATGTAAAGTTTCCTTTTAAATTCTTTATTTGCTGCTAAACTGAGGTGAACTTAGAGAATCAGGGGATCGGTCAGCCCAGGCTGCTTCATGTGTTTGACTTTATGTGTCTCACCTAACTGCACTAACTGATACTTTAGGTCTTTAACAAATAAAGTTTCAGACAGAATTTACTTGAAATGATAGAACAAAGATGTCTGCAGGTACTGAGCTGTGAGGAGTGAGGAGTTGTGGTTTAACACTGACTGAAGAAATCAGGGAAATAAATGATGCAAGAAGTAAAAAAACAAAACAAATTGTGTGGAAAAAGTGTATTTGATTTTGTGGTTTACTGTCCTTTTCGAATGCAAACCTAAATGCAATGCAAACCTAAGAAACCTAAATGCGACTTATGAGCAGTTAAAACAAGTTAAAGCATTTTTCCTTTGCATTTATATTTTTTTAGAATAATATTTGATTAGTATAGAATCCTTGAAACTAGTACTTCATAAAAGGTTTTTTTTTAAGGGTCATATTGCGTTTTTGTTCTTCTTTTTTAACTCATCATGTCAGACACAAACGTTTTCACTGTTGGCTCTATCACGAGTTCACAACAGAGCTGGCTCCGTTATCATCACAGGAAATCGCTCTGCTTTCTGGGTCTGTGCTGATCATATCTGATCAAATACATGTGTTGGTTGACAAGTTGATTGAGTCTGTTTAGTCACATGTCCGTTGCTGCCCAGGCTGTTTTTAATCGTTTAAAACTGGTTTTCTTCATTAATACATGTTTTAGAAAATGTAAAAAACTGTTTTAATCTGGTAAATAGCTTCAGTTCACTTAAATAAAATTTTTCCCCCCGTCTGCTCAGATTGAGCTCAGCAGGTCATCCTGAACATGTCAACATGCAATAAGTTGCTGCCATGTGATTTGCTCATTAGATATTTGTGTTAACAAGCAGCTGAACTGATGTACCTAATGAAATGGCCAGAGATTGTAGCTGTTCCATTAGGTGACATTGTTTCCATCCTCTCAGTGATTCCTCTGAATGGAGGCACTGCCCTCCAGGAGCTCCCTTCATGACTCCATGATAGCAGTCGTCACCAGAGGATAAAGCTGAGCTCTCAGAAGAAACGTGGACGGACTGGAGCAACAAAATAATGGCTGAACACCGTTGGTCCTTCAGTCACATGTTAATGGTACAATTTTAATTTCATGGCAAAAAAGTCTCCTGTATTGTCGAAGGTATATTGATTATAAGTTCCCCAAGCAGATGCTATAGTTTTAAGCCAGTTTGCAGTTTTAAATATTATCACATTAAATAGCAAAATACACAACTTACTGAACTAAACTGGGACCTAAAAACCAGAAGATCAGTGATGTAGGAGCTCATATTCATCACAATTCACAGCTTTTGCGAGTATATCACCAAATGTGATCTTGATCTTCACAGTTTGAGTGATGACCCGTTAGTGATCAATGTGTGCAGGTTTGACTGCATTGCTCACATGCTTACTGTAAAATAAGCGGTGAATTGTGTGAATTGCGGACTGATGGAAAACAGATGCCTCACCCTGGCAGAGCTCGTTGGCTGTTGAGCTGAACAAGTTGCAAAAAATACAAAAAAACCTCCACATGCTCATATTCTGACATTTCACTGAAAAAAAGATTCAGACACAAAACGACAAAACTCCTTCAGCTGTGTTTGAAATTGTAAATTACCATCTTTTTTTATTTCACATATTTTCACATTATTTTCAATGACAAGCGTTCTCTTTAAGTGTTTTTTTTTTATTTTCTTTCTTCTTTTTTTGATCACAGCTATTCTAAAGACATTCAGGAGGAACCGAAGGAACAAAGGGACTCGGGGTTCATATATTCTATCTTCTTTTTCTCTGAGAAAGAGGCAGGATCTCAAGCATGGACAAAGGACAAATAATCAGAATCACGTCTGGGCGAGAAGAAAAGGGAGCAACTGGAACCGAGAGACAGACACGACAAGAAGAACAAGGAGACGAAAATAGAGAGAAAGAAGAGGACAGAAGTGGGAGGAGTGCAGGTACTCGAGTGTCCAGGTAAGAGTGTGACATGGCAGAGTGTGTAAGTGTTCAGGTGTTTACAGTGTGTAGTTATTAGCCTCACTCCATCCCTGAAACTGCTGCTTTCCTTACAAATGCATCGTTCTCTGTCAGTTGCGAGCATTAGTCTTCATGGTTTTCTGATATCTTTACTCATTATTCTCTCTGTGTTTACAATGTTAATCTTTATTTTTGCAGGTCTGTCCTCTGGCTGTACATAAACTACTCCTTTAAAACTACAGTAACAGTGCATGTCTGGCTTATAAATATTCAGATTTTATGTTATTCCCCTGCATGTGCGTTACACGTGTTGCATCTGCTCACTGTGTGTGTG